TAGATGTTCATTGAAATGAAAAATAAATAAACTAAATTAAAAAAAAAGTTTGCTTCTTGGGGAAAAAAAATAAATTCCCATTTCCAGTCAATCTGCACTGATTGACTCAGTTCCACATCATCTGTTGTTGTTGTGTACTATACCCTCTGGGCAGGTTTTCAGAGGCAGTTAATTGCATGGGAGGAAATTGCCATCCTTCTGCTGAGCAGCTGGTGGCCTCAACCTGTGTGCCTTTGGGATTTCAGCACAGCTTCTTGCCACTAGGCCACCAGAGCTCCATTCTCCATCATCTAGCCAACAATGTTTATTGTGCATCTAAAGTAAAAGCCTTGGAGAATAGAATGAGGTACAATGCATCCTTTGCTCCTTATAATCTAGTATTCCTGTTTTCTCAAAACGTTTATGATGACCCTTTCAAAAGAATGTCTTTCCTCATCTTCTCAGTATACATAAATGATTAGTCAACATACATGAAAACGTGCCAACAAGCTTATTTTTGCTAGGCAATAATATTGTCTAGAGGAGCTCTGATGACTTGGTGATAAGGAATGGCACTGCCAACACAAAGGTACATAGTTCAAATCCACATAGTTCACAGTTGCTCTGAGAAAGATGGGCCATCAATTGCCATGGGATTTGATGCTTCTGAAAATCTGCTGGAGGGTCAGCTCTAGGCGGGTTCTGACTCAACGGCAAACAATAATGTCTACCATTTACTGAGGGCTTAATAGGTACTAGGTAGTGTGCTAAGAAATACATTGATTCTTTCACTTAATCTTAATGGCCTTTTGAGGTATGTTCATGCCTTGTGACAACTCAGGCTCAATGATCATTCTGTAAACTCACCCAGCTAATAAATGGAGGGAAATACAGATCTATTTATAAGTCCAAAATTTTAACTTCAGCTAAACTGCTCAGCCCATTCCAGAAAAATGGTTTGTAAATAAGATTTGAGGACACTGAAATATTCAAATGGCTAAATCACTTCTGCTGATTCTCCAGCATGAACAGCCCAAAAGTTGTGGTTTTAATCTACACAGCAATACTGCAGGAGGTAGTCTGCTTCTAAAAGATCTTCTGTAAACCCTATAGAGCAGTTCTATTTCCTTCAAAATCTACTTGCATCCCAATGAGATTCCCTATTCATTTACTACTGCACGTGCACATCACCACCATCTACAAATATTAGATACTTGATAATTTAGTTGGGCTGGGAGGTGTCCTTGCAGGTGGCAAGAGACCTGAGAGGATGCAAAAGTCTTCAGGATTTCTGAAATCTTTGCCTAACCTATTGGTTTCTCTTTCGAACCAGAAACAGGAAACTACACTGTGCAGGGACTGAAACAAAGACAACACTCTGAGCACAGCCACAGTAAAAGCATTCTCAATTCAGGTTTCTGGCAAGAAAAGACCTGGGAGATGCTGGCAGCCAGCCTGGTGATCGTTCAAGGTATGTCAAAAAGGACCTTCAGCAAGCATCCCAAGAAATGAGCAGTAAACCGTGGCCACCTTAGTTGTCCTTTAGGGGCAGGGTATGCTCACACATGAAGAAAAGGATGAAGAGGTCTCTTGCCTCATTCAGCTCATGAAGTTAATGGCAATGAATATCCCTGTCATTTTGTCAACCATGTTGTTCCAGAAGTAGGACCCATCTTAAACTTCCTGAGTGGCAAATTATTTCATGTCTTACCCTCCAGAAAAGAAATCAAAATTGGCTTCCTTCCTCAACTTCGAGTCTTTCAGATTTACTCAAGTTACAAACCCAGTTTCTGGAATAAGACTCAACAGATACATATCTTCTTTCTTTTTCCATTGCCTTTTTTTTTTCTTTTTTCCCATTGCCTTTTTAAGTCTTAAGGGCCCATCAAATACATATTCCAGGCCAAGTCATTCTTTATTACATCAGAAAGTTTTGTTGATATTCCAAATCAAGAGATGTAATATAAACTCTTTTTCTTTGTAGTTTTCTAATCCTTGTGCCAGAAGAAACGCCAAAAAGTTACAGCAAGACAGACTTGATTCTCATTAGCTTGGTATCTTTCTCAATAAAACAGAAGGGACTACGGAAGGCACCCAGGTAAACACATTAAGCAAGCAAGAAACTGGAGACTACAAGGTGGAGCAAATGCAGACACCTGGCCTTCCCTCCTCACTCCTGCAAGCCGGCCTTTCTTCCCACCTCATACAACAGTAAGAACAGACTAGCTTTAACAGAAGTGCATACACTTTTCAAATACTGGATGACAGGAACTTCAAACAATGGGCTTCAGCATGGCAGAGACTGATGATGGCACAGGACAGGACAAAGTTTTGATCTGTTGTTCATAGTTGACTCAAAAGCACTTAACAAGTTGCATGATTTTTAGGTGCGCTTAGTGGTTCAGCTGCTTAGATGAAAGCTTGAGGTTCATGTGTGAAGCTGGTGGATTCTGAACGCCGCAGCGCTTCGTCAGCACCCATGGACCTGTCCAAGTCAATTAACTAGGTACTTTGGGGGAAACACTGGTGTTTTGCTAGACCACATGGGACCTCTTAATGGAAAGCTTGATGGTTCAAATCCACCAGCCCTACACAGAAAGCAACATCTGCCAGCTTTAGTAAAGGTTTACAACCTTGAGAACCCAACATTCTATATTATATACTATAAAGTTGCTATGAGTCAGAATCAAAATGCCAATGAGTTTGGTTTTTCTAAGATACACTTTATTATCCCATCATAATTCCCTCTCTTCCCACCCTCACACACATAACACAGTAAAATAAGCAAGCAAATCAAATGAATAAAGTTTTCAAAATAACTTTTTAATTTAATGCCATAAAAAAGAGAAAATACGCAAAGATAAGCATGAGAGGAGAGTCAGACCCAGTGACTGACATGGTATGAAAATGAGGAAAACTGACTTTAGTGCTCGAGGCCTTTGGGCATAGCACCACTGGAAGATTTGTGCAGACTAGATGCATGGATTAGGATGATCCAGCTTCAATACAACCTCTGATGATTTCTCTTTTCAAATAAAAATCCATAGCAGCCTTTTCTTATCTTCTTTTCTTGTCTTCTTCTTTGGAAAGATGGCTTCTTGCCACAGTTAGCAGAGAGAAGAGGGGGTTAGGATATTCCTGGTAGGAGAAATTTTATGAATAATTTATCTGGAGCTAAACTGCAGGCCACAAACAGAGACTTAACTTGTGATCCTTGGCAAAGACCTGTGAAAGGCAGGAGCTGAGGTTTGTGTAAAGAGAGAGACTGACTTAAAATAGATAAGATGCTTATGAGGGATGGTCTTAAACCTCAAACTAAGAAATTGAGACTCAGTGTCCTATTGTGAGATAAGAGACCGGGCAGAGAGTCCAATGGCAGAGATTCAAATCCTGGTTCTGTAGCACACCAGCTGTGCCCACAGACAAATGAAATGTTGAGATGCTATTTCCATTTACAGGGATAAACAAGGAACAGGGCATTGCCTGCTCTATCTTCTGTTTCAAAGGATCATTCTGAGGACTATGCAATAAGAGATTGTTTTGAACCCAGGACCATTTGAATTCTAATGTAAAAAACTGACTTTCTCCACTACATCATATTCTCTTGAATCTTTTGCTACATAGCTTATGTATGCTAGCCTTTTTATTATGGCCACATTTTTTTAGAAGTGGACCTGAAGCGCCTGCTGCAGAGTGTCAAGGACTGCAGCCTACAATATGGATTGAGGCTCAATGTCAAGAAGACAAAGATTCTCCACTGGACCAATTGGCAGCATCAGGATGGATGGTGAAGAGATTGAGATTGTACACAGCTTTAGTTTGCTTGGCTCCATAGTCAACAGTCTTGGCACCAGCAGCCAGGAAATTAAAAGGCGCATTGCCATGGGAAAGTCTGCTGTTAGGGACCTCTCCAAAGTACTGAAGAGCAATGGTGTCTCTCTGGAGACTAAGGTGCATCTGATACAGGCCATGGTCTTTGCAATCACTTGTTATGCATCAGAGAGTTGGACAATGACCAAGGATAGAAGGAGAACTGATGCCTTTGAGCTGTGGTGCTGGAGAAGAGTATTGAGAATACCATGGACTGCTAGGAAAACAAACAGATTTGTCCTGGAAAGGGTTAAACCGGGTGGCTCCTTGGAGGCAAGGATTCTGAGGCTCTGTCTAACATACTTTGGACATGTTGTGAGGAGAGACAGGTCCTTGGAGAAGGACATCATGCTTGGGAGGGTGGAGGGACAGCGCAGGAGAGGAAGGCCCTCTATGAGGTGGATTGATTCAGTGACTGGGATAATTGGGATGGGAGTGTCAGAGACAGTGCGGATTGGCACAGGGCAGAGCGGAGTTTAGGGCTGTTGTACATAGGGTCGCTATGAGTCGCAAGCGACTCGACGGCACATAACAACAACATTTTTTTAAGGTAAAAAGAAATAGCTCAGTCACAAAATAACAGTATAAAATATCACTGTTACAGAATGGGACAGTTGAGAACTGGGGATAAAATGGGGCAAGAGTGGATAGTTAATGAACACTGTATTAGAACAGATGAATAGAAGAACTGTCTGAAAGGAATAGACATGATTATGCATTATACATTAGAGTTTCTGAAGCCACTGTGCCTTGATTGACTATCAGTGTCTGAGTCCAGAGTACTGCTTTGAGAACACTCAGCAGGAAGTTAACTGAAAACAGCTTCCTGGACAAGCAGGCAGACTCATCCCAAAATACAGAGTGCATTCTTGAGACCTCATAAAACCCACAAGAGCTGCTGTGAAGGCTTAATTAATGAAAAACTAAAGTCCTTGAGAGCTTGTGGCAAATACAGATTAACTGTCCTTGAGAATTTGAAGAAGATAGAGATAAGCTTTTTGTGTTTCTTAGGATCTTCTGAATAAAAAGCTCTGATTCTTAGATATTCAAGGACACATTCCTTTCTGGCTCCAGAGATAACTGTTAGATATATTACTTTAGGGTCTTTGAGATAATGGTTTGCTGTGTAGCAGTAAGTTTGATTATACTGATAGTAATGGAATGCTTGTATTCTCTACAAATGCTGAGAAAAATAAACCTCGAGGCCTTAGCTCTTGCTCTGGCCTCCTGTGCCTTGCTTTGTCTCTCTTTCTTCAGGTCCCTCCGAAAAATGACAACAATACATATGACAACAATCTGAATCAAGGAGTGCATTGTGGGGAGGGCTAGAGGAAGGGGAGGGGGAAGAAAATGTGCAAGCATGAAAAAAAATACCAAAAAAAGGGTAAAGATTTATAAGAAAGTTATGTCACAAAGATGGGATGAACCTTCCACCTTGGAAAGGAAATGTGGCACAAGTCTCTATCTACATTCTAAGTTCACATAGATATGTTTCCTTTACAATTAAAAAAAAATCTTCTAATGTCACTCAGCATTAAATAAACAGTGGAAGTCTCCCAAAGATGGGCCCCAATTACAGTGGTAGTTTCACCAATTGTGCTATCCTAATTATAGTTTATACAAGAAAATCTACATAAAGGACACAGGAGTGTTGCCTAAACTTGTTAAGAAATTCAAGAGCATTGTATTATTAACTCTGACTTGAACTCTGTTTAAGCAGAACAAAAAAAGCAACTATAAGTCAAAAGGTATGCTTCCAAAGAACATATTTATTCTGCTGATCTCAAGATTCAGTTCAAGACATTTGAAATACTTCCTTTTTGGCTTTCAAAATGGATTGATACAACTGATTTCAAATCTGTCCCCAGACTTTCCTATAGGAGTTGGTAGTTCTCTGGACATACATAAACCCTCTTTACATGAGTGATTCACAACCCAGGGGTTTTGAAGATCTGCAAGACTTTTATTGCAAGAAATATGTATAAACATTACTTTCCATCTGAATAAATAATGTATCTTACAAGTATGTATATACTACAATTAAATTTAGATGCTGGTGTGACTAATAAGAGAAATTGATTTTAAAAGTATTGCTGAAATCATAGCCACTTTCTGTTATGCATAATAAAAGATACTAAAATATGGCTATAATTTTGTTGGGAGGGAGTCTAATAATTTTTAGGCCTGAAAAAAAAACCTTATAAGAAAAAGCATAGTCTCACATCTGCATCACATGATTCACACATCTAAATGTCCTAACTGAAAGAGGAAAGGCAACATACCGACTCCACTTATATGGATACAATCTAAATGTATTCTGGAAAAAAAAAACATAAAGCTTATATGCAGAAGAGCTTAAGAGTTAATTGCCTGTAATTCCACTCGTCTATGGCAAGTATAAAGAGCTCTGGTAGCTTAGCTGCCACCATGTTGCAGTACCAACCAAAAGGTCAATAGTGAAATCTACCAGCTGCTCCAAGGGAGAAGATTGGGTAGTCAACTCCCTTAAAGAAATCTTGATGGAGGGTCAGTGAGTGGAAAACAAGTTGAAGGCAGTGTGTTTGGGTTTTTGGCTTGATGGCAGGTATGAGATCAAAGCTTCATAATGCCCTCTGGATCCTGGAAAATAATTCAAGCTGTACACATTATATTTCATGTATCTATTTTAGAACTTTAGAGTAGCCCTGTGGTTTCCAGTCTAAATGGTGAGGTACTGACAACATGACAAGCTAAGGTTTTCCACAAGATAGCCACTTGTAAACACAGTGATATGTTTACCCCATCAAATATTCCCAAACTCCCTGCATCAGAACTTAGATGGGATTTCTTTTAGAAATTCTAATAAAAGTATTCTCTTTCCTGATCCACCCAAGCCCCCATATCCCACTGGTTTTGTCTGGTAAACAACACTCTTACAGTCCTACTTCTTTACAAAAAGGAAACTCCGCTAATGTCCAACTTAATCATTAACCCTTGCAACCAACTCTGATGTACTTTCCTCCTGATTATTTTTTGTTAAGACTGATAAAATTTTAATTCCATGAATAAACAGCACCTACTAGTCAAGAAAAGAGAAACTGAAGCACGTAGAAAGTCATGAGAGAAGTCAATCGCATACCACCATTTAACAAAATGTTTTTTAAAAGTTCAATAGTTCAGTATTTGAGTTCAGCCATCTATATTAACACAGATGAACACCTTTTCCTTAAAGTCATTTATGCCTGACACATGGAAATTATTAGGCTTTCATCTCCAGTGAATTCCTTTAATACAGATCACATAACAGGGTGCCTGCCCCAGCTAATGTAACAAAAACTCATGAAAACGGAAGAGAACTAAAGGCATGTACAATGAGAAAATCAGATTGTGCGGCTCCAGTCTTCTGCTACATCCAAGTGCCTCCACATCTTTTCTTCTTATGTGAAATGTGAATGTGTCTGTGAATGTTGTTTTTATATATTTTTACATATATGCACACATATATATACACACATACCCTACAAACACACCTCCTTATTAATATAGAGAACCAATCACTGAACCAAACTAAATACTGCTAAAGAAAAGCATCCCACAAGCATTCGCCCATTCTTAGACAACAAATGTTGACACCTAAAATGCATAATAAACTAAGAAGCCATTTAATAGCCATTTCCACATCCTTGGCCTAGAATTATTACTCCTTTTTCAATTATTAATGTGAGTAAAGTATCAAAGAGATATATGGCAACTGAACAAAATGTCATTCTAGTTTCTCTTAACTCTTCATGTTTTCCAGACTGGCAATACAAACTTTGATGGAAAATTAATGCTTAACGGTCAGATTATTCTCCCTGCTCACAATAGCTTGGAAACTTGAAAGATGTTGTCCCACACCCTACTCCCCAGTTTTTCCCAGCCCTCAGTCAGGTTAGATTAGCTCACCAGAATCTACCTGTAAAGCAACCATTACTGGGAGGCCAGTTAAGGTGCTGCAATATATAACCTTTCAGCCTCTCAGTCCAATTACTAGAAATCTCTCCAGTTATGTCCTAGTTAAATAGTTTTCTGTTTCTGTGAAATAGAGAAAGGTAGAGAAAAAAAGATGCTCAATCAGTTCAACTCTGCACAGAATCCAAAGGTAGGCCATTTAATATGAATAAGGGCCTTCAAGCCCACAGACAGGATTTAAGATCTAAAATCTTAACAGTTTTCTCTTTGACAATGAAGAAAAGTAGAATCATCTCACCCTTAACTTTTGTAAAGACCCCTTTCTTTCACCCCCAAAACGAGCATCTGGTAGACAACAAATCTAAAAAGAGACTCCTAGCCAAGAAAAAGACTCATTAAAGAGGGGCCTTCTGATCATTCCACAGCATGAAGGGCGGTGTGAATAATTCATACCCTGTGCACCATTAGTGGTGCCCTTTTAGGTATACTAACAGCTGTTACACACAATCATTTCCTTTTGATACTGAGTTTCAACAATATTCTTGATCTTCTTCATTTACTTAACTTTAAACATTGAAGTACTCCAAAGAACCATGTACACTATTAAGCTGGGAAAAAAAAACCCAAGGTCATCTTCTCCAAGTTGGTTAGTTTGTTGTTTTGTATTTTTTCCATGATCACAATTATCAGTTTTACTCCAAAGGCAGCAAAAAGCAAGGGGGGGGGGCGGCTAAGTAGAATAAAGTTTTCCAAGATGAAAAAATAAAAATGAGACCATCTCATTTTTAAAAAAAATCTCAATTCCTGAAAATCAGTTATTATCAGAAACCACGAACTAGCTGTGAAAGTGGTAATGAAGTTATCTCATTTTTTAAGCGGAATAATTTTAAAGTCTACAGAAAAAAAAGGACAGTATAAGGTCATTTAAAAAAAATTTTAG